CCCCCCCCCCCCACTGCCCGTATCCCTCCTTCCACTCACTTGGCTGCGCCTGTGGCAGAGGTTGTACTGTTTGCAGGGCTGAGGACTGTGCTCCTGCAGCTGGGGGCGGTAGTTCTGGGGTGACATGATGCGCCACGTGTCCAGGTTGGCACAGAGCTGGGGCAAGAGATGGGGGTTCACCAGACTGGGGTAGAGTCCTATGAGGACAACGGGCAGAACTTTGGGACAGGACAGGTCCCAGCTACCACTGAGCAGGGCCATTGGAAGTGGGGATTCATTTACTCAACAAAATATTTATTGCTCGTCCTCTCTGGGCCCAGTGCTTTTGGAGGCAGTGGGGATCCAGAAGGTCTTATTTTGGTGTCGGGGAGATAGATCGACAAAGCAGGAAAGAATAACAGAATGAGAGGGCTTCAGGCCGCGTTAATGAGCTCTGAGGAGAATGAAACTCGATGATGTGATAGCGTGCAGTGGGGGAGGTCAGGGAAGAACTCTGAAGAAGTGACAACTAAGCTGTTCCCTGAAAGGCAAGAAGGAGCCAGACAGGCCAAGTGCAGGGGGAAGGGCATTCAGGGCAAAAGGAACGGTGACCACAAAGGTCCTGAGAAGGGGGACAAGCAGGACATACTCCGGAGACCTGGAGAAGGCCTGTGGGGTAGGGGTGAGGGGAGTGTGTGGGGAAATGAGGCTGGGGAGGTAGGCAGGGCTGGGTCGGATGGAACTGTGTAAGCCACAGTAGACAGATGGCAGTCTATTCTAAGTATAGGAAGAAGCCACTGGAGGCTGCAGCTTCAGTGACAAAGGGGCCCGGACGGTCACCCAGGAGAGCCTGGGTAGGGCTGATGGGCATGGGGCAGGGCAGGGAGGACTCTGGTGGTGGGAGGGTCATAGGAGCCAAGCTGACCTGCAGGATGTGGTCAATCGCCCCATCAAGTGTGGACGCCCCACCAGTGCCTGGGGAGGCTGTGAGACCCAGCACCTGGGGCAGGGGCCGTGTCCTCTGGAGTTTGTGCTGTAGATACCGGCTCAGGATGATGTTGTAGACGGTGTCTTTGTGTGTGTGGTGACACTCATCCACCACAAGCAGGGAGAAGGCTGGGGGCGAACACAGGGGAAGGCTGTGACCTTTGCAAAGCTTTTCCTTCCCCATCAGCTTTTCTCCATGTAGTCCCCACAGTTCCTCTAACTCCTTCCTCCCTTCACAACCCGCAGCCAGGCTCCAGAGACCGGCCGAGGCAGGGATGATTTACCTCCATTTTGCAGATTAGTAAACTGAGGCTCAGCGGTGGGGCTGAGGCTTGGCCCAGATCCTGCATTCTAGCCAGATCTGCTTCTACTAGGGTGTATGCTGGGGTTTGGCGAATGGGGATCCCCTCACTCCCACAAAACATCCCAACAGCCATACTAGGAGAGATGCCCTGGGGTTGGCAGGTCGAGGTGCCTCAGGTGTGTACTCTTTCCCCTGGCTCAGCCCTCACCGTTCAGCTCCACGTGCTCCTCCTCCTCGGGGCTGGTCAGTGCCATCTGTAGCAGCTCGGCTGTGCAGATGAGCAGGTCATGGCTCCGGGCCAGGTGGCCAAAGCCAGCTCGTGGCCCCATGTCCCCACTCAGGGTTGTAATGGCCCAGCGTTTGTCCAGCATGCGGCTGAACTCCTCGCAATGCTGGGTCACCAGGTGCACCTGGGGGTGGGGAAGGAGTCAGGGAGAGGAAGCTGGATGGGGCGATGGGGAGGAGGCAACGTGACCCCCAGGAACTGGCTGGGGACGGGAAGGGGAGAAAAGCCAGGTGAGCTTAGAGGTGGCCACAGCAGCCCTGGAGATCTGGCGGGCTTTGTGAGGCACCTGAGGAGCTGAGACCCCAACGAGCGGAGAGCGGGCTACTCACCCTGTTGACCAGTACGACCACCTTGGCTCCGTCCACAGTCTCTAGATGCCTCTTGGCCACATAAGCAGCTGCCCGGGTCTTCCCAGCCCCCGTGGGCAGCCATATGATGATATTCCTGCCCTCCAGGGCAGGCATGATCACCTCCCACTGGTAGGGTCGCAGCTCCCTTCTGGGAATGGAAGGAGGCTCAGATGACTGGCCATCCTGGCTCCCTCCCCGCTCCTGGCCAGCCCACTCTGGTGCAGAGCCGTCCCCATCCCACTGGAGGGAGGTGGAGCAGGGCACCGAAGGGACCTACCTGGAATCTGATCTGATCATCTGAAGGGGAGACGAGTAACACAGACTACACCTGACCCCTGCCCTGCCAGTTCTTATCTGCACCACCTGCCGAGGCACAGAGGGTGGTTAGCCCCAATGCCTGGTGTTGGTCGCCCGCCCGGGGTTGTGCTGAGATCGGAAACAGAAACTGAAACTCAGGGGAGGAGCCAGCTCTGTCAGAGATCTGCCTTAGAAATCCCCGTTGCCTGAAAAACCTGCAGGAAAGCACCCTTTCATTCCTCCCGGGTCCTGCCGGCCCCTCCTCCAAGAGTGGTCTCCACCCCACCCCCCACCCTTCTGAATCAGCTGTAACCATGTCCACCCAGGTGAAGGTGGCCCGGTGATTGGGACCGCTGCAGCACCCACACCTGGGCAGGAGTGGAAGTAGGGCTGTGGCCAGGCAGGTGCCATCGTCCCAGGGGCGTGGCACTAGGTATGAGGCTTGTTGGGGAGGGTGGCCCCAGGACAATCTGGGGTTTAATAGACTCCAGCTTGTAGGAGGTACCGGGAACAGGGTCAGCCTGTTCAGGCTATGGACTCTACCAAAGAAACAATCACACAGAGGGGAAAAAAAAAAAAAAAAGCTTTATTGTTCCCTCTGAGGGATTAATGCCAGGAAATGAATGGTCCCCAGGTCCCCCACCCCTGGGGGACAGACAGAACTGTGCAGGGTGAGGCATGGCCACTCCAGTCCCAGTTGAACTTCCAAACCCTGAAGCCCCCTCCCACGAGCTAAAAGTGGCAGTCTCAGCCCTCAAGCAAACAGTGGGCCAGGCGAGGCCGAGGCCTCCAGGACTTCGTGGCTCTGCGGGGACAGGGCTGGGGGCCACCGGGGCCGGGCAGGGTTTATCCTATAGCCACCAGCCACTGTAGAGGGGCTGAACCCCAGATCCAGGAGATCCCTGCCCAAGGTCAGATACAACGGAGAGTGGGACAGAGCTGCAGGCTTGGGGCCTGAGGATCCAAAAAGGGCTGCAGGGCCCGGGGCTGGAGTGCTTTAAGCTGAGAGGAACCTGGGCGCCAGGGGCACCCCTCAGGATGGGATCAGAACCCAAGGTGGAGACATTCCAGGTCAAGGCTGTGGTCCAAAGCCAGAGGCTACTTGTCAATGAGGCCCCCCTCCTTGAGCTTGAAGTAGAAGAACTTCTCCAGGGCGCTGGCACAGCGGCAGTACTCGCTGTCCGGGGGGTTGTACTCGCGGCAGTTGGCAATGACCCGCTGCAGGTCAGCCACAAAGAGCTTCCGGGTGACATAGTAGCGGCTGCGCAGTCGCTCCGTCATGGTCTTCAGGTCTGGGGCAGCAGGAAGTAAAGGCATGCTTTTAAGAGGCTGAGGCGAGCGGGGCTGTGGGGTCCAGTGAAGGCAGGAGCAGGAGTAGATTTGGGGGCCAAAGAGGAAGGAAAGGGTCGGAATGGAGTGTCCTCACCAATAGGGAAGCGGATGACCTCATAGTAGTCAGGGGCCTCTGACTTCTTCACAGGCTCCATGAAGGGCCAGGCACTGGGGTGTGACTAGAGAGGAAAGCTGAGCTGGAGCCGGGCCCACTGTGCCCCAAGCCCACCTCGTGACCGCCACCCACCCCAGAATGGGTCATAAAGCCAGAGTCGCTGATGCAGGCACCCCCAGAAGGGAACCTGGTCTCCCCACCTTGATCTGGGCCAGCAAGTTTTTGAGGGTTGTGTAGAGCTGGTCTGGATCCTTCAGCTCCTTCCTGGGGTGAGAGACACCACGTCTGAGGCCCTTGGCCCTTCTGGCTCCCCCAACACCCTCTCCCTCCACACAGCACTCACCCTTTCTCCTTCCCCAACGGCTTCCAGCCTGTCTCTCCTGCAAAGTGGGGAGTGGGTGGGGAGAGCATCCCTAAGAATTCGACAACACACACCGAGCAGGGTGCCCCCTCCCCCAGCAAGACCCCTGCTCACGAATGCCGGGGACACTCTCCACAGGGATCTGCCTCACACCCTCCTTGAAGCAGCTGAGCCCGGGGTAGACCTTTCGGATCTGGGCTTGTTTGCGCTCAATCAGCTTCTTGATGATCTGAGGGAAGGCAGCGTCTTGAGGGGTCGACTCCAGTCCCAGCGGAAACCCTCCCAAGGGCCACAGTCAGAGGCCCTGCCGCTGAGTCCAGGCGCCTCGCCTCCTAACTTCCTTGGGAGGGAAAGCAAGAACCAAGATCCCGGCCCACCCCAGGCCTGGCTCACACACGCACATACCTGTGGTACACACCCACACATGCGTGCTCTCCCCCACGTGCGCACGGTAAGCCCCAACGATGAGTGCACGCACATGTGCACACACACCTCCTTCTGCTTTTTGATGATGTGGGACAGCTCCGTGTAGGGGATCCGGGGATTCAGCTCACACTCCATCAATGTTGCACCCTCATAGTCCTTAATGTAGCCCAGATAGCGGCTCTTGGGAACCTTGATGTCCTTGGAGAAGCCCTAGGGAGTGGACAGTTATGACCCAATCCGTCGACAAGGCTTTTCCAACTTGAATAGCTCTTCCCCCAGGAGCCTCTGAGGGGCGGTGCAGGCCTTGTCTGTTCTCCCGGGTTCCTGGATCCCCTCCTGTGGTGGCTGGTACAATGCTCTGTGTTGTGTGGGTTCAATCACTCTGTCCCCAAAAAGGTTCCAGGTCAGCTGCCCCTCCCGACTCCCTGGCAATGTTTCCCTGGATGGGAAACATTCCTCCAGCCTGCCCTACTGCCCTCCAGGCCCTCACTCTTCACTGGGGCAGCAGCGCGGCGGGGGGAGGAGGGGCAGGAAGATGGGCGAGAAAGATCTCCTCGCAGGTGCTGGATGAAGCAAGGGACATGAAGGGACTCCCATTCCGTCCACAACAGGGGGCTGGACAGAATGACCCCTAGCCCCAGGCAGCAGGCAAGTGTGCAGGGAGGGGAGGGTCACCTGCTTTTTGAAGTAGCCAATGGCGTACTCGTCGGCATAGGTGAGGAAGTAGAGGATGTTGTGTTTGATGTGATACTCCTTCAAGTGGTTCATCAGGTGAGTCCCATAGCCCTGTGGGGGAGGCGAGCAGGGCTTACCAGGGGGGCCCCAGAGAAGAAGGAGCAGACTGGATAGGATACAGAGACAGCTAGGGGATCCTGGACATACAGGAGAAAAGGCAACTGGATGAGGAAGGGGAGTTTGTGGGAGAACGTGAGGGAGACTTTCTGAGCATTTATTCTGGGCCAGGTGTGGTGCTTGGTACTTTACAGACCAACTCTCAAGTCAGTCCATGAGGTAAATATTATTACCTCCATTTTTATAAAAACAAAAACAAGAACAAACAACTGAAACTCAACTACGTTAGGAAACGTGTCCAAGGTCAGACAGCCAGCCACGGTTAAGGCCAGGATGGAAATCCCAACCAGGAAGTTGCCGTCCACGTGTCACTGGTTCCCAGTTCCCAGGCATCAGAGTTGGGGGGAAAGGGGAAGAGGAATCACAAGAGCCCCACTCAGTGCAACATTTGAACCCTCAAGAGAGTGTCTTCCACACACGTCAAGGCCAGGGAGGCACCCTGCAGATCTGGGTTATGTAGAACAGGAGAACCGGGAACCGGGAACCCTACCAGTGGGTCTGTTGTGACAATTCCAGGACAGAACCCAGGACGATCACCCAGCCCAGGGCTAGTGTAAAAATTATTAACTCCCCAGTGTATGTGAACGTTCTTGTGAAGGAAATTCAGGTCCATTTAAAAGCATTACTGGTTTGGGGCCTCCATCTGTCAACAAGTGTCTTAATACGCAGTTATCAAAGGACAAATGCCACCTTGTGGGGCCCAGAAGAACTGCCTGGCCACTAGAAGAAGGGTTGGGATTATTGCTCTGACCCAGTCCAAACTGAGAAGCAGGTGGCTGGAAGGGGCTGGGGCCAGGAACACGCACTCACCTTGACTTGCTCATTTGAGGTGACAGCACAGAAGACAATCTCTGTGAAGCCCTGGGTGGGAAACATGCGGAAGCAGATCCCACCAATGACCCGCCCATCCTTGATCAAGGCCAGAGTCTTGTGCTTCCTAAGGGGAGAGGGGACAGGTCACTGCCCCTCCCTGTTGTTCCCCAAATGCTCCCGGGATCCCCACAGCTTTGGAGGCGGGGCCGCACTCAGTGCCGAGAGCGGAGGAACAAGTATTCCCACAGGTTGGAGGAAGAGGAGGGGGTGGGGGAACATAGGGGGGCCAAGGACAGGTGCCCAGGTGTGGTTGGGGCTCTTCTGGGGACGCACGGGTCAAAGACGAGGCGGGCGATGTACTCCTTGGGCATGCGCGGCAGCTGGTGGGAGAAGACATTCTGCAGCCCCACGAGCCACAGCAATACCCGCCGGTTGGCCTTGGGCGTCAGTGAGTTGCCGATGACATGGAACTCAATGATGCCGCGGCGCTCCTCTAGGCGGGCCGTCTCGTCCCGGGCTGCGTTGGCAGACAGCAGGCTCGTCTGGGCACCAGAGGAGAGCTGGTGAGCCGGGGCCTCAGGCCGGTGAGGTCCCCTCCCCACACTGGTCAGCGAGCCGGGCTGCCCACCTCAGGCCCCAGCATGGCGGCAGGGTCGGTGATGGTGAGCATGACCTCGTTGACCAACTCCATGGGGATGTCGCCCATCACGCGGAGCCGCTTGGCATCCTCCAGGGTCAGGTTCTCTGGGAGCTTCCTCTTCTCACCTGCCGGGAAGGTTGGCAGGGTCTCCCATGGACAGCAAGAGGTTAGGGGAGGGGTGAATGAGGGTCAGGGGTCAAGTACCCACCTGGCATGGGCTCAGCCCCTCCGGAATCCAGACTCAAGGAGCTGTTGCTGCCCCCACCCATGGTGGGGCTGAAGATGGGGGCGCTGGGAACAACTGCCGCGCTGACCGTAGCTGAGGGTGAGCAAAATCAGGGGGAGCGGGGGGTGGTCAAAGGTGGCGATGGGTCCCACAAAGGGATCCGGGCCCTCTAAGCCCCAGATGCACCCTCCCGCATGCATGTCCCCGCGGCTGCCATCCACAGTGTCTCCTCCCCGGCAGGAGGCCAAGCTCAGCCAGGAAGGCCAAGCCGAAAGCCTACAGAGCCTACCAGGGCGTGTACCTGGCCTGGGCACCAGCTGGGTCCCCTCTGAGGGCGGCATGGTGAAGCCCGACTCCCAGATCGGAGAGTTCGCCCCATAGATCTCCTCCTCCAGCATGGACAGGAATCTGTGGGGAGGGTACGGTCTGTCTCCCAACCCTGTCCTCCGACCCATACAGCAGCCTGGACCAGACGCCAGAACTGGAGGCAGGTCAAAGAAACCGTGTTCTCAGGGGGCTGGGAGCTGAAGAAGAGAAACAACCTTTGGCCTGGGGGCAGGGGGCAGCGGGGAGAGACACTCCCCTGCCTCTCTTGAGCCCCTAGTCAAAAGTAGCAGGACCGGACAATCCAGGACAGAGATCAGAGGCCCAGTCTGCCACGGGGTGTAGCACAGGGCGACCGGGTGTGTGAGCCGGCGCCATCCTGTGCTAGGTGGCCAGGCAGGGCACCGAGCCACCCTGCACCTCAGTATCAAAATGGGGGCTCAGAATCTACTCCCTCCTGTCACCTCATATTCCCACCTGGTGGCAGAGGGGGCACTGAAGGGCCTGGATTAGTCAGTAACGGCTTCTCAAGCTGAGCAGCTACGATCCTGGTTTCAAATGAGAGGAAAGTGTTGCAAAACAGAGGAAAACTTTACAGAAAGGTCTACAACAGGAGTGGAAATAGGTTTCACCTCGAGTGTAACCTCTCGTTTCTCGGCAGGCTGTGGTGGGAAGGGTTCTGAGACTGTGTCCAGGGCCCGTGGGAAATGATTAGTCACATCTACCAGGGGCCTGGGCAGGGGTAATGTTAGCACTCGGGCAATGTACCTGCCATCCCCAGTCTAGTACACGCAAAAGCAAATGCCAGCAAGTTGCATCTGGGCCCCGGACAAGTCTGCCAGGTAGACACCCAGATCTCAGAAGGCTCATGGAGGGAAAGGAGGGACCATTCCAGGAAGCCTTCCTGGAAAAAAGGGGACAACAGGTGGATGTGAACGGGGGCAAAATCCGGGTAGGCCAGAATGAGCCTTACTTTGGGAAGTGGGTGAGGATGAGGGTCCTCTTCTCAGGCACCAGCTTGTCCTTTTCCACCCGGAATTTCTCTAGCAGCTGCCGCCGGGTCACAGTGAAGATGGAGCGGAGAAGGCTTCGCCCAAAGATGTGAGTGGTCTCGTAGCGGGGGAGGCTATCACAGCTCTGGGGCACGTGGCAGTAGCAGAGCCATCTGGAGCCAGTGGGGAGGTGGGAAGTGAGAATGGAGACGTTGAACCTAGGCTGGGCCTACAAGCCTCTCCTCATGCTGCCCTTGGCTGGGCCTACCTGGTATAATTGACCTTGTAGGTAGCCACGTCCTCAGCCTGAGACCGCTGCCGAAATTGGGCAGGCGTCTCAAGTTTCCAGTAGTTAAGGCAGAGCAGGAACATCTTTGAGAGCTCAAACATCGTCTGCCGCTCCCGAGGGGCGAGGTGACTAAACTTGTATTGCACAAAGTTCAGCACACCCTGAGAAGGGGCGGGCAGGGGACAGAACCAGGAAGGAGACGTGAGCAGCAAGCAGGGGCTTCTAATCCAAACACTGGTGCTTCCCGAGGGCAGGGTAAAGCTCTCCTCTCATTCTGGGGCTCCCGGTGAAGAAAAACTCTGGCCCACTCCCACCCCCACGTCCACCTGAAGCACAAAACATCCTCTCTTCTCTGAACTTCTCCCTTATTCTCAACTTGACAGGATGGGGAACACGGCCTCCTCAGTCCTCCAAGATGCCCCCAATTCTCTCACCACCTTCCTCATCCCACCTGTTCAATATTAGGCTTCTCAAACGGGGGACTGCCCAGGGAGCCCTCCACCACTGGCCGGGTCATCTGCAGGATGCATTTCCGCAGAAGCTGGAGGAAGAGGAAGAAGGAGGGGCAGAGGTCAGCAGAGCTCAGAGCTGCCGACTCCCTAGCCTTGTCTACCGTGCTCATCCACACTCACTTGGACAAAGCTCACCTTGAAGAGGTAGAAATACACCTGCTTAGTGTCTGTGTCCTCCTCCTTATGAACAGACATGAATAGGTTCTCCACGTCCACCACCATACCCAGTAGCCGGTTAATCTCCTCCTCTGACACATTCTCCAGGTGGGACACGTGGTCAGCTGCAAGGATAGGTGGTAGGGTTGGGAAGAATGGACAGATCACCAGAGCTTCCTGTCCCTCTTCACCACCAGGCAATTTACAGCCTCGGTCCCTCCAACCAGCGTGACCAGCAATGAAACTGACTGCTCCTACATCAGTCCTTGGGTGGCCACTGTCTCTTCAGGGCTGGCAAACTTCCTTTCGCTTCCCTTGGGGGATACATGTTCCCAACTCAATCCTTCCTTCGGAGGTATTTTTGGTTCCACAAATGAAGCTCTGTGGCACTTAAATCATCCTGTCCAAGCAGGACCCAGCCTGACCCCGCCCTAGCTCCAAGGGCACTACCTGCCTTACCCAAGGGGTGCTCACAGCTGCGACATAGCTCGCTCAGGTTGGCAGCTGGCTGCTGTAGGTCCATGCGGGGTGCAGTGGGGGGCTTGGGGTTTTTCCAGCCATTACACTTGCAGGTTTCATTGGCCTGGAGGCAGAAGAATCAGTCAGTAACCCTGTAACCGGGAAGGGGGTGCAGATCCCCAGCCAGAGATTTGCCCCTATTCCCACCCGGGCCCTGGGATGCCCCAGGCCCCGCCCCCTCTCACCCCAGGCCCCGCCCCCACCTTGCAAGCCGAGAAGACCCCTAGCTTCTCAAGCTTCTTGGCGCGCGGCAGCCCCCGGACTTGCGCCTTCCTCTGGCTGGCGCGCTGCTGCTGGCTCAGGCCAGGTCGAGCCGGATCCCCTCCGCTCCCGGTCCCCCCACTTCCTACCCCGGGAGCCCCAGTCCCTGTGCTCCCGGCTGGGGCTGCAGCTGGGGCGGGGGCTGGTGCCGGAGTGGGAGCCGGAGTCGGGGCTGAAGCCGGGCTGGGGGCAGGAGTCGGAGTTGGGGCAGGGGCTGGAGACTGAAGGGGACGGGACTGCGTGGCCGGCGCCGGGGTTGAGGCCTGGGTAGGTTCCGCCATGGCCTCCCCCGCAGCGGAGCGGCGCGGCGCTCCCAGCCCTAGGGCCGCATGGGCAACCGGCGCACAGTGCGCAGGCGTCGCTGCGCCGGGGCATGACGGGAATTGTAGTCTTTCACTGCCGCTCCCTTTGCCTCCGGCTTCCAGACTTTTCTGTCTTGTCTCTTGGTCCCAGACAAGCGAGTGAAGCCTGAGCCATTACCCTAGATTGGCTCCTCCTCACTTCATTCTCTCTTGGAGGCTTCTGGGACAGTGGAGATTGCTGTTTTCTTGGGGACTTGGAGAAGCATCTGAGAAAACAGGCTTCAGTTGAGGGGAATTGTAGATTCTGCCCACGGGGGTGCAAGTGCAGCTCTGGGGCCTGGAGTTGTGATGGCTTCCTGGCACATCCCCTCCTGCCCCAACCCTGGCCCTGGCCTGCACTGCGGACACAGACTTGCCCCTATGATGGAGATTAAAACGCAGCAGTTACCTTTCTGAACCTGTGAAGTTGCAAGGGTGGTGTTGTCTTTGGGATACTTCCACTCTACTCTTTGGTGGACTTTTCTGTATATACGTGATACTTCAGCAATAAAGGATTATTATAAAATCACTGAGCGCCAGGGGTATGGCCATGATCACGAGGGATACTGAGACGGGGATGAGGTAGAAGTAAAGGAGGGCACATCCCAGTGTTTGTGAATGGCTCTCCCCGTAACCCCGTGGGCACCTCGAGGGCAGGGCCCACCTCTTCAATTTTGTCCCGGAACCCAGCCCTGAGCCTGCCACAGAAGGCCCGGGGTCCGATGAATGCAGGAAACTGGGAAGTCGCGTTCATCTCCCAAGCCCCATCTGTCATCACAGGATTTGTGCGCGGTCAGAAAAGGGGGTTTCGGAGAATGTAAGACCCCATGGTCACATCCCGTTGGCTCTGTCCCAGGGGACAATCCTTCTTGTCCTCGGGACAGATTCTTGGAAGGGCAAGAGCGCAGCGGCTCAATCTCGTTTTCCGCCCGGTGCTTGCGAGCGCTCCAGGGTCCGGATCGCACGTCCGGCGTCGTTCAGCGTACGTAGGCGGGTCACAGCCCAGAGCCGTGGGACCCTGTGACCGAGGCGGGGAAGGGCCTGAGAGTGGGGCAGGAGTCAGGATGAAAGCAGCAGCGGTGCCCCATGGTGGCTGACCACCTGGCCTGTGGAAGCAGGATTCGCGTGGCTGACCCCAAACTGCTGAAGCGGGCCGGCCCGGGGTCACTGAGGGAGCCGGGCTGCGCGAGTGCCTCCCCGGATGTGCGCGCCGCTGCCCGCGTGCCTCGCGCCACTGCCCTTGGATAGCAGTTGCTCACTCGGATGCAGCGGGTCGGTAGCGGTCTCCCCAGCAGGAGCCGGGTGGCATCCCCCTGTCCCAGCGCAGCCCTCGCTGAACAGAACCAGGTGGCCACGCTACCGGTACGGCTGCTCAGGGACGATTCGGCAGCTTCGCAGAACAACTTCCCCGTGGAGGATGGCTTCCAGATGAAGGTGGATACCTACGGCTTCACTCCCGACGAGCTGCTGGTGCAAGTGGACGGCCAATGTCTGATGGTGACAGGCAAGCGGCAACTGGAGGGCTGCAGCCCGGACGGGGCCGGTTACCGCGTAGCGCACAGGGTGCACCGGCAGATGCAACTACCACCGGACCTGGATCCAGCCGCCATGACCTGCAGCCTGACTCCCTCGGGCCAGCTGTGCGTCCGAGGCCAGTGCCGGGCGCTGCCTCCCCCTGAGGCCCAAACAGGGCCATCCCTGAGACTCCGGGGCCGTGGCTCTAATAAGGGTCAACCTAGCCTGACCCGATAAACAACCCTGGTGTGCAGCAGCAGTCTTGGCGTTCCGTGGTCTTTTCTTGGGGTTGGGGTCAGAGGTCGAGGCATAACGGAGGGAAAGAGGGCTCGGGGAGGCAGGAAAGGCACTTTAAGGTGGTAGTCCACCAAGAATCGGGCCTCTGTGGTCCTGGGAGAAGCTGGGGGCCCGCTCAGTGTGGCCCACTCAGCTTAGCTCACTGCCTGGAGCAGCAGCTCCAGCAGGGAGCAGTAGAGGTCCAGGAGGCTCCACAACCAGCAGAGGGCCCTGACAGACCAGGGACCAGATGGCTTGGACCTGGTGTGGTCTTGGCCTTCTAAACAACGCAAGGTTTCAGAGGTCACCTGGGCGGAGGGTGAGAGGACCGAGTCCTCCACAAGCCTGGTCCAGACTAACCGAAAAACCCCAAAGAGGTTGTTTCTGGTGTTTCAGAGACCAACTATTTTCAAATACAAACTGTACATCACCCCAGTAGAATCTGGAGGGAGTCGGGGAGAGGCAAATGCGGGCCCCTCAACTTCAAACTTGGTGAGATTCAGCCCCAGGTCACTCTCACCCTACCCTACCCCTTAGAGCTGGTAGAGCAAGGGCCTATTTCTCTTGGTTACCATCACCACCAGCATCCCTTCACTTTTGTGGGATGGGGGGTGGGGGAGTGAAGTTAGTTCAAGTAAGCTAGAGCAGATGCGGTCTGATACACTGCCAGAGAGACAAGGAAGACAAGTGGGAGGTCGATCGATCGGCTGACTATATTGACAAGATACTGATTGGTTACATGTTGAAGAAAACATACAATACAAAATACAGAAAAAGTTGGTTCCATCCCCTCCCACCCACCCCCCCCTTACCCACCCACCCCCAAATACTCATCATCGTGATTTGGTCAGAACAGGGCTCAGAGCCAGAGGTCAGGGTGACGGAGGGGGAGGGGGGTTATGGGGAATGGGTTGGTGGCTGTCACAATAATGCTGTGGTAATGCTGTGGTTTCTCTCCCAGCTGTGCGTCAGGGGGTGAGGGGGGGGGCTGCAGCCTGATGACAGCCAGCTGAGGGAAGAGCTGCTTCTCCCTTCCCTCGCCCCTTAGGGCCACCACCCAGAACCAAACCCACTCCAAACACAGTAAGGATATGGATGCTCTTGCTGAGTCTGCTAATCAGCAAGAGGGAAAGAAGGGTAACTGCTCCAACCCCCGCCTCCCCACATACAAGGGTGGGGGGGAACAGGGGCACGTGGCTACTACCAGCAGAGGAAGAGTGGGAGAGCAGTAGAAAGGGCTGGAAGTGGGAAGAGCAGAAGATCATATATATTAAAAAAGTGACTTAAGACTTAAAATTGAATTAGTATTTGTACAGAAAGGTGCAGGTGGAATAACTCACTCCGGCCTATGATCAAAATTCTATGGAGAAATCATGGCGGACCCCTCCCCCTGCCCCCCCAGTGGTAGCCCGAGTCGTTAAGTGCGATTGGTTAGAGTGGATTCCAGTCGGGTCGGTCAGGCGGAGGAGGTGGGGGCAGCGGGCAGGCAAGGGGGGCTCAGTTGCTGCAGCACTGGCTCCGGCTGGCTGGGTTGTTCTCCTGGAGGTCCACGCCTCGGTTCCGGCCTGGAGCACCAGCTGCATTCTGGGGCTCGTTCTTGGGAAGCTTCTTAGCTGTTTGGAAGAGGAGGGGAAATATACATTTGTGGGGCTACCGCAATACTCTTCCAAGTATGCTTGAGTGGAAGCTGGCCTTTGTACCACCCAATCTGGGATAACCCATGGGGGAGCTTCACTTCTTTGCGCCAGGTGCATGCATTCTGAGTGTTTCAAGAAACTGAGGCACAGAGGGGGTCTGGGTGGCTCAGTCGGTAAAGTGTCCAACTTCGGCTCAGGTCATGATCTCACCATTTGAGTTCGAGCCCCACATCGGGCTCTGTGCTGACAGCTCGGAGCCTGGAGCCTGCTTTGGATTCTGTGTCTCCCTCTCTCTCTGCCCCTCTCTCTCTCTCTCTCTCTCTCTCAAAAATAAACAAACATTAAAAAAAACAAACCTGAGGCCAAGAGAGGTTAAATAACTTGCCCCAGGACCACAGAGTTAAATGATAAAACAAGGATTCAAACCCGGGCAGGATGACTCACTACAGAGCCAGATCAGCCTAAAGATCCTAAGAAGTGGGTAGGGGGATGGTGATGTAGGGTTTTCAGTGGGTGGTAATCTAAAGGGTCAGAAAGTGAAATGTTGAGACTTTGGCCCAGGCTGTAGAAACTTCCGGGGTGAACTCTCTATATCGGACAGTCAGATAAAGTGACCCCACAGACTTACCACATACTACAAAACAGCAGCCAGGTGATAGGATAGGACCCTGGTCAGGGGAGGGGAGGGAAGGAGAGCAACTCACCTATTGCCATGAAAATTTCATTCACGTTCATCGCAGTCTTTGCTGATGTCTCCATGAACAGCAGACTGTTGTCTTCCGCATAGGCTTGTGCTTCCTGGTTTAGATGGAGGTGAGAAAGTGGGTAGGAGGGAAATGATGACAGCTGGCAGGGGCCAGGGCCCAGGATAAAAATCTTCCCTCCTCACAGTCGCCTTATACACAATAGAGACAATGCAGGGATTTTTCAGTCCCGAGGCTCTCCTGCTCTGGGTCCCCCCCAAATCTGCACCACACCCAAGGCCCCCACTTCACATACAGCACCTCTCAGTTCACAAACATTGGCAGATGTTTTACTCAGGTTTTCCTAAGTCCATTCTGCCTTTTGCCCTTCAAAATCACTAAGCTAAAAAAATACTTCTAGAAAGTTATCCTACAAATGCACATGCACATTTGGAAAAAATACAAAAGCATGTGGATGTTGACCGCAGTGCTGCTTCCAGTCGTTTGCTATTACAAACAACCTACAAGTCCATTGGTTAAGGGCCTGGTAAAAAATACACAGTATTATGGGGCACACCCCCATCGATGTAAAGAAAGGGATTCATTCGCATGGGTATATTTTTAGAAAAATAAGAAACTGTGATGAACTTGGGGGAAGGGAGACTGAGTGTCTGGGTTGGAGATTTAAATTTCATTCCATGTATCTTCCTGTACTGAGTAAATTTTACTCGTGCGTGTTTTACGTGGATAAAAAGTAATTCTTTTTCAGTAAGTTTCATTGAAAAGTCAGTTTACACAAAAAATAAGCGGAAGCTTCAGCTATCCTTATGCATACACACGCCACCAGCCGATGACAAAGAACAAGGAGAAGCAGAGAAGTCCTTCAGGCCCACATTCAAGTCACGAGAGGACAGCAGATGAAAGCGCCCCGGCCTCCCCACTTGGCCCTCCGCACAGCCCCTGAGCAGCCGAGGCTGAGCCAAGCGTGGAGCCGGCTTACTCCTCCCCACCAAGTCCTGTCCTGCCCCCACCTGGAACTCCACGGCTCTCTTGCTGGCCAGGTCCGCCTTGTTCCCTGCAAGTGCGATGACGATGTTGGGGCTAGCCTGCCTCTGTAGCTCCTTCACCCAGTTCTTGGCCCGTGCAAATGTATCCTGGGGAGACAAGGCCAGAATGTCAGAGAGACAGAGGCGGCATTCTGCCCAGGGCCACTCACTTAGGGAAGCTCGAGCTGGCAGAGCCCAAGTGTCTAAGATGCTACCGCCCTGGAGATTCTGGTGAGACACCCCCAAACGACAGAGGAAATCTGCCCACACCCCATCCAGGAACAAAGTGTTGAGAAGTAAGGGGAAATCTTTACTGTGTTGGTGATGTCATAGACCACGATGGCAGCTTGGGCCCCCCGATAGTACATGGGGGCCAGGCTGTGATACCGCTCCTGTCCAGCTGTGTCCCAGATCTCAAATTTGACTGTTGTGTCGTCCAAACAGACCGTCTGTGTGAGGAAGGCCGCTGTAAGAGGGAAGGTGGTGTTATAAGGCAAGAAGGAGCTCAAGAAGCCACCCCCACATAGCTCCCCAGTACTGCATGTGGACTCTTTGCTGAGATGGGCCCCGAAAAGCCCCCAGCCCAGCGGCTGAAGCAGGGTAGGTGGTGTTTGTATTTTTCTGCCATGTGTCAAGGGGACTGGGGGTTGCACAGGCCTTACAGACCCACACTAGGCAAGGGCAGAAGGGATATCTGCCCGCACCTGAACTGTTTTAGGAGCACCTCCGAGGAGGACTAGCAAGGGGCAGGAGAGGGAAAAGCCCAGGGGAAAATGGACTCCCAAGCACAGAAGGGTGGGCCCACCACTCCCCCCATCCCCCCCCCACCTCCCCTCACAGGGGACAGTCAGGCTGGAAGCCTCCATAGTCCCTCAGTTTGCTCCGGCCCAGGGGTGTTACTGGCCTTCGGTTTCCTGAGGACACTCACACACTTAGCTACACTGGGGCCGCCTGAAAGTACACACTGTTCCGCTGCCAGGCGGAGGCTGGGTGGCTGGCTTCCCGGCTGCCCCTGCCACCTCCAGGCATGCTGGCTAGCCTCCACCCCCAGCTTTGACCTTGACCCATTCCTGATTGGCCACCCTGTGGTTCGACCTTCAGGGAACACAGTGACCCTATCTTTGGTCTGAGGAGACAAGGGAGCATGTGGTGCTTGTGCACATGCTTCAGGAGGAGTCCCAGAGCCGGGACAGGCAGGTGGGAGTCCCCTCCCCACTGGGAACCAGGGGAAGATCCCAGAGAGCTCAGAGTGGAAGCCGGCTCCCTGCTCTGCCCTCCCCCCACGCCCCTGAGGGCCCAGGGTGGGGAAAACTGCCTCACTTCCCTGTCTCCAGCTCCTGACTCGGGTGCTGAGGAGGCAGCAAAGGACTGCTGACTCGGCCCGTTCAGTTTCCAGCTGCCTGGAAACCTCCTACCAAGAGGGCAGAGAAAGGGTGACTCAAGCCCAACGTCCGCCCTGGCCCCTAAGGTTTGTATAGGACACTGAGGCAGGGAACTGAGCCCACACCCTCACGGGCTACACGCTGACCACCAGGAAATCAATGATAGGCTCTGAGCTCGAGGGTAAAGGTCAACTTCAGAAACGCTGGCCCGCTCACCAGGCCATTTCCCCATTCTGCAAAGTAGGAGAGGCCAGGACAGACGCACTGCCTGGTACGGTCAGAAGGACCCTCAGAGATCCAGACCGAGCCTCTCCCTTCCAGAGGCCGGGTCAGTGGAAGGCCCTTAGCCAAGGCCGCGCAACAGTACAGTGGCATAATCGGGAGGAGAAGCCAGTTTTGGACTCCCAGCTAAGTCTTACTGGGTGGCGGTGGGGACTCCGGCATGGAGACCAGCTGTTGGATTTGATTCCAGGGCCCAGGTGAGGAAGAGGTGCTGCCGCCGCAGGCACATTTAGTCCCTCTGGGCAGGCGGCTCCCTTCTCGACGCCAAGGCATTTCTTTGGCATTCCTGAGGCTGCCCCACTCCCTTGTGCCCACTCACCTCCAATGGTGCTCTCCTGGTACTCATGGAACTGTCCCTTGACAAAGCGGAGCACGAGGCTGGATTTGCCCACTGCAGACTCCCCGAGCAGGACCAGCTTAAACTGACAGATCTTGTTCCCAGCGGCTGGTCCGTTGGGTCGCGCTGCACCTCCCCGACCCGCCATGGCCCGTCCTGCTGTAGTGGTACCAGTGAGCGTGGGGCGGGGGCCGGTGCTGCGCGAAGAGGCACTTAGTGAGGACGGGGGACCTCCAACTGCAAGAGAGATCAGCAGTACTGGTCAGGCCAGAGACTGTCGCACAGCAAGGCCTTCTTTTTTTTTTTTTTTTTTAATTTTTTTTTTTCAACGTTTATTTATTTTTGGGACAGAGAGAGACAGAGCATGAACGTGGGAGGGGCAGAGAGAGAGGGAGACACAGAATCGGAAACAGGCTCCAGGCTCTGAGCCATCAGCCCAGAGCCTGATGCGGGGCTCGAACTCACGGACCGCGAGATCGTGACCTGGCTGAAGTCGGACGCTTAACCGACTGCGCCACCCAGGCGCCCCAGCAAGGCCTTCTTAAATCACTCTTAAATCACAGGTCTCTCCCGCTGCCCTCCCTGAGGACCTAAATCCTCCCATCCTGCCAACCCCCTGGCCCCCACCTCCCAGAAGTTAGGAGAAGAGCCCGAACTAGGATGTACTACACATCTATTTGCCCTACAATCATCTCAGCAGTGAAAAGTGGTCTCCCAACTCTAGGTTCATGGTTCTGAGCAAACATATTACTTCCCAATCCCAAGTATCACGTACACACAGGAGAACAATGGGCATATGGCAGCCTGGTGACAGTTAAGTCAACAGGCTCCTTGGAGTACCAAAAAAATCACGCGGGAAGACGCCAGGATCCAGATGAACAAACAACGAACCTGTGGTCCCGTAGCTAAGATCACAGCGCACCTCGGTGCAAAGCCAGAGTGGATGGTGAGGCTGACCAGGGCACAGGGAGTCCAGATAGAAAGCTCATCAGACAAGGCGCTTGGCCAACCTTGTGGGCACTCAGGGACCAGGGACTGGCCAGTGCAAGTTGTATTCAAAATAGCCATTTTGTCCTGCTGTCTCTAGAAGGACTAACTTTCTCAGTCGGAGGCTGGACTGTGCACTGGAATCAAAGTCCCATTTCACTCCTTCATCCCAAACCTCCCTGGTTCTCTCATTTTTGATGGACCAGAAGTCTCACACACATTAAAACACAAAACACACACAAAACCAAACACACACCCAAGCCAGAGAGCTCTGCTGGCAGTCAGAACGGCTGCCAAATTTCCCTTTTCAACAGAGACCTCAGTTCCATTCTCTACTGGCAGAGGCAGAAGGTGACGCAGAGAAGGAACAGGGAAGTATGGGAGGGCAGACACAAATGAGGGACACCGAGACCTGCACCCCAAGCAGCCGGTGTTCCACACTGACATCTTAGTCACTCTGTTAGTGATAGCTTTGGAGGCGCAAAGAAGGATGAGGAGCCTATTTCCAGAAGCCTCTAGAAGACTTATACTAAAAAATACCAGAACGTTTACAGACGAGTACTGTGACGAGGTATTTCATCCTAAACATCTGTATAGCGTCTGAACCTAAGCTGGAAAGAAAAAGCTTTGATTCAACTACCCTTAGCAGAATGGAGTCAATGCAGAGGGGTCTTCAGAACAAGAGCCCAAGGAAGTACAGCCCAGAGCTGCCCCCTCGGCAAAGGGAGTG